CACATTTTGATCTCAAAAAACAAATACAATATCAAAAATACTGACAAAAATCAAAACATAGAATAATAGTACTACTACATTTCTAAAAATAATAATGAAAATACGTTTTGTACACACCGGAAACAAGTGGCTTTTGACCCCAAGTGTGACTAACATTTGCATATGAATATACGTTTGGCAAAGAGCATTTGACACCGGGACTTACGGCTTTGTCTTTATAGAACTGCTTTGTATTTTTAAAACGATATCCAACCAATGAGAAACAACAAAGGATTATCCCGGGAAATTGGCGTTAATACAATGCATTTGTAGATTTAACTAGTTAGCCAGGAAACTTACAGTCTGCGAGAGACTGAAGAAATCAGATCACGGGATAAATAATAGCATCGCGGAGGAAACACATAGCGTCGCGGGCAAATCCGATCGCGTCGGGGCCCGCGACGCTGTTTTGGCCTGGGGAGAACACTGTGGAATATAACTAAGTCAGGAATATGATTTTGTTAACATTAAAATGATTGACACTTGTATCTGATCGTCAAACAAGTACTTGTCCATATTGAGAGATATTGCTCTGGAACAGCATTCAAAATCAGCCATTTTGAATACATGTATATATATATAACATGATGTATAACGAATATATAAAATTTGAATATAATCAGTCAAAGCATTCAATCCCAATCATTAAAACAAAATGGCCGCCAGTCAGCCATTTTGAATCCAATCTGAAAAATAAAATGACATGCATCAGGAACCTGTAATGTCTAATGTGTGTTATAAGTTTGAACAAAATCCATCCATAAATGCAAGAAATGCTTGATATTTGATATTTTTTAGTACAAAAATGACAACCATTCGGCCATTTTGAATAGAATCGTCAAACCAATATATCTGTCTATGACATGATGTATAATGAATATTTAAAATGTGAACATAATCAGTCAAAACAAGTCGGAGATATGAAGAAGCCCATTCATTAAAACAACATAGTTGAACTCTGGTGACCTTGCCCTTTGTTATATAATATAATACCCTTTATCATAGTTTGTTTCAATATAAATATGCATTGTCATAATTAATTTTGAATACAAACAAGTTTTGGGGTTGAATCGACTGTGGGGAATCAGTCTACCGAATGTCCTTAAAAGATGTAAATATCTTACAAAAACATTGGTGCCTTATTTGTTTAATTATTTTAAGGGACATAATTTCCAGCTTTATTCAAAGTAACTCAGATATTTTAGTATAAAAACAAATGTCTCATTGAAAAAAAAAATGTTGCATTTAGATGTGAATAGATTCATAAAACATGCAAGATAACAGAAAATTTTAGCTGGCTTTAGTCCAAGTATTTTGTACAGGTGTCTGTCAAAAATTAATGATTCACTGAGACAAATATGAACTGCCTCATTGTGTGATTACTGTATTATATGAAAAGTAAAAAAAAAAACACCCTTTATGAATAGCTATCATGTTGCAAGCTCTGCTTTGTATGCAAATCAACTTAAATAGTTAGTTGGTGTCCAGTGGA